GCTATAAAAGTTACAATATGAGCCTGTAAAGTACACAATAAATTTATACGTGAAATGTTCATTGCCAATTGATTTTTATCTCTTAGTGCACAGTCCACATACTTATTTTTTGTGATCTTTCACTTCATCTTTATATCCATTAATCTCACTTAATCACTTTAATACGTCTTTTCTGTTTCTCTTATCTTTCTATATAGAATATTTGAATTTTTTTTAACATATTTCTTTTTAAAAATGTGATTTTTGTCACCGCGATAGGGAAAGACAATGTTGAGTTTGATATGTTCATTGGAATAGTGTTACTGTTCATGAATGATTGTTGAAATATCCTAAGAGATAAACGTCTAACGTTCTCAAACACTAAAAAGATAACATATTAATCTTAACAAATCTAATATAAATTATTCTAAACCTCCGAAACTACATGACAAAGCTTTGAAATGTCTAATTGAATAATATTATTAGTTTCTGTTATCACATATTTATCAATAATGCTAATACCTACATCAATACATTATCAATAGACATCACTAAAAGATGTTATTATTGAATCTAAACCTAATTGGTCCACCTTCTAGGACTCTTCCAAATCAAAACGGGAAGAAATTGGAGCCTTGAAAATTGTTAGTGCAACTCTTTTAGACTATTAGACCTAAACAAGCTCATGTGTGAGCCTTCAAGCACAACCATTTCATAATTGGAGTAGGATTAAACCAAATTATAACTGCTACGTTAATAAGTTAATCAAATAATTTAGAAGTTTATTTTTGTGGGCCAAATAACATTCACTAACAAGAGAAACAAATCGAATTTAATCTAGAAATTTTAGGATTATTTTTTAAAGATAATTGTATGAACTAATAGAATTAAATTTGTTGGGTTAAAAAAATAAGATTACGATGGTTTTAGGGGTTCACCCTTTCTAGTTTGGACGAAAAGTCGAGATCGTTGATTTTTTTCAAAGTTGTATGATCACTTATATATATTTTTTTTGGATAATTCAATTTTATTACCCAAAGCAGAATCTGCTACAAAAAACAGCCTGTTCAAGAAAACAAAAAGTATCTACTTACAAGCAGAACAAAATATCAGCTAATCTATACCCCATTGATTACAAAGTGTAGTATTAACACTATCATTCCTATTAATACTTCTACCCCTTAGTTGAATAGCAACATAGTGTTTTACAGCATGGAGCAATGCTTCAAAATTTCGTGAGCATCCTTGGAATAGCCTCTTGTTCCTCTCCTCCCAAACAGTGTAAATAAATGATGTCCAAGCTAATTTCATATTGGTAGTGAGAAAGGATCTACCTTTCCAAGCATCACAAGCCCAAGCTAAGTGATTTCCTTCGCATGTCATTGAGAATGATAACCGCGTCCCATATAGAAATAGCCAGAGGACATTGAATGAATAAATGATCTCTAGTTTCCATCGAGTCATTACAAAGCACACATTTATCTTCGATATCAAACCCAAATCGTTTCAGTCTGTCTTTAGTTGGGAGTCTGTCTAATAAGGTCATCCATGCAATAATACTAAACTTAAGAATATGGAGAGGGAACCAGATCAATTTGTGCCAAGCGACTTTCACCCCTTTGTTTCGAATCAGAAGCCAAATTTCCTTAATATTCTGTGCACCAGAAGTTAGAACATGAAAAGCTTGGATTCTCACGCTAAGTAAGCGTCGAAAGCTCCAACTAGAATTAGTAACAAAGTCAAGATGGCCGAGTTAGTCTAAGGCATGGGTTCGAATCCCATTCTTGACATTTATGGATCACCTATATATTGGTCCTTAGCATTAGTACCAATACTATGATGTTCGTTATTTGTAGGTTGATAGGTTAAATATATATATTAGTGTCAAACACTATTTTATAGATAATATGAATTTGTTTATGATTACGTAGATAATATGAATCTGTTTATGATTACGTCAAAGAGTTATAATTATTCGGAAGACATGTACTTCCAAAAATTTCGAGATACTTCGAAGGATCCAAAATTTTTAGTAAACTCGTAAAGATTCAACGTTGGTAGGTACATAAGACACAGGAATTGTATTTTTTTAAATTTGATACGTAAACTATTTTTCATTGAGTGGAAACTAGAAATTTCTACATGCACGATTCACAAAAAACCAGCTCTAATAAAAGAAGAAAGTACAGTTGAAGCTAAGACTACAAGTCGCCATAGATTATGCTGAAGATGCCATATACAGAGATAGATATAATGGAACTTGGCTATCTGTCGTGCCGTTTAAAGAAGATCGAGAGTTAATTTTATGAATAAAAAAATTTCTTTTTGAAAATGACTATACAAATTAACCGATTAAATTTCATCCACAGCTGTAATATTGGTGTGCTGGATGCCACTGATTTTCGGCATTATTACATGCGTACGTAAGGCTAAATATTTACTACACAACACACAGCGTACGGTCATCGGCTCATATATTAATTACTCACAGGTTTCTTTAAGCCAAAACCATTCAAATTGGTAGCCTTGTAATTACTCCATCTTTAATGGCTTATGGTACCTTCCACCCATTCCCCCCACTTGGTAGTTGAAAAACAGAAACCATTTCATCTAAATTCGAGGTTTAATCTAACCGATTCATGTAATTATCGTAGATGTAATAATATTCGAGTCAAATTGTTATTATATGATATCGAAATTCGACATTTTTCTTTGAATTATGTTAATATAGAGTTTAAGATTAAATCCTAAAGATGATTTATCAAGGAAGATGACATAAAATTATAAAGCTAATACGAAAGATAAGAAGAAAATGAGATTGGACTTTACCCTTTAGCTTGTTGTTCGTTGGAGTGCAGCATGCAAGCATGAAACATGTCGTTGCTTAACTAAAAACAGGCAACAAAAATAAGAGTTGGTTGACGTTTGTGTAATATGTGGTTTGAATTTTCATTACATAAACTACTTTTTTCCCCCTTACAGCTGGATACGGGTAGCTGTTTTCATGCGCCGTATGTTATTCTGTTGTCGGATATGGTTATATTTAATACGGGTGCATTTAATTTGTTTTTGTATATTTTAAAAGTTATATGTTTTATTATATTTAATAATTACAATATTATATATATTAAAAAAAGTTGGAATTATATAATTGAAGCATATATTGCTTACGACACCGAAAGAGGATGAGGTTGAGGACGAGTGAGCTGTCAAATGGTTGAATGTAATAAGCCAATGGTAGGTAGATATTGGTTCGAGTGAAATTAATGGTGTAGATTATAGATTACATAAAAATTCAACTACCTCTCTTTTTTATATTTAAACAATAAAAATAAATTAATAACACATTACAAAATTTTAATTTCGTTTGTAGTATTAAAAATCTTCGGCCTATTGTGCATTGATTGAGATTTTAACGATATAAGCGAGTAAAATTGGATTTGATTTTAAAAAAATTAATTTGATTTGAATTTTATGTTTTCGATTCGACTCTAGAAAGTTTTAAAATAAAATACGAATCGTCGTCAATTCAATTAATTTGATTAACTCAAATATGAATAAATAATATTGCAGTGTGAAATAAAAGAATAAATATATATTTATATCTTATATATGGTAAGAAAAATTCGTTAAATTAGACTAATCTATATTAACATCATAAATATTTACAATTAAGTTTGAACAAAAATCCGATAGTTCGACTTGAATTACGTAAATTCAACTTGATTTTCTTAAAAAATAAAATTTAAATTCTGAAATAAGACTGATTAAATCGACTAATTCAAAATTTTGAACTTAATTCGATCCGATCGAATATTCAGCCTACCGAACGGACGACTATTTACATTTGGTATGGCGTGTTGAGGGCCCGCAGCGTGTGCGCATGTCTGTGTAGCCTGCGGTTAATGATAAGCTGTTGACAAATGTTGTTGAAGCTCTCTCACATACGACTGATACCTCTTGTGCCGAATGTGATCACCGGTTGCGTCACTGTTCTCAAGCAACAAGTATATGGCCTCGGCTTATTAAATTTCCAGTCTATCGAAGTGAAGGACTGGATTGTAAGGAATTTAAAGTAGCCATGCTATTTTGCGAAAAACAAAGATAATTGGGACCCTTTATGTAAGACTAATTTAATAAAAATACAAGTTTCTAGATTAGGAAAATGCCATTGGTTATGCTAAAATCCATGATTTTGATCAAAGTCCTTTGTATCATAAATGTTGTACTAACATGTCAAAATAATAAGGACATCACATTCAACAAACCTGCTGATGGGGAAACACTTAGTTTTCAAAGCTAATTAATTTTTAATTTTATTTGGTCTTCATCCATGTAAGCTCACTACCACGAAAGATTTGACTTGTGATCACCGTATCATCTTCCACTCCTTTCTCACATTCAATCTGGCCATCAAATTCATGAACATCGATTCACCAATATTCACAGTCAAACATATAAATTCACGTTCACCTCTACTCAAACTTAAATTATTTAAAGAAGTTAAATAATATTCAGTTTACCATCGTTTAGATTTATTAATTTAGTTTTTTATCATAAGGGGAATGCAACAAAAACAATAAGATTTTGCAACATTATTCTCCTCAGGTCAATGGTTTAAACATTAATCTCAATTTTACAAATTCTTTAAATGCATTCACATTCAAAAAGATTTGTCTCTCTTGGTTTTTGGAATGCATGTTATATATATATATATATATATATATATAAGATAATAGAGAAAGAAAAATGAAAAAGAAAGGGAAAATGAGTTGGCATAGAGATGAATTAGAATGAGAATTTAAACACCCACAAGGTCTCCTACTCCAACTGTGGCATTCATTTCACCATTAATGACTTACACCAGCAGCTACCCCATGCTTCAGTGATCTTAAATACAGTGGATAGCTGCATTCCTTGTTGGATACAATGCTATCATACCCCCATCCTTTTATTATCTCCATAATATTATATAATCTCTCCTGTATTTTCTTAGTTATTGTGAATATTGGTGTTTATATATTCATGCATCATTGATCTGCTTTTCGTGGTTGAAGCTAAGGGCTATATATGTTTGTGTATATATATATATGTGAGTGAGTGATAACAGACACACAAAACAAGGCCAACCAGTGCAGCCCACATACAAGGGAACTTGGTTTTCTCTGGAAGCTTATTATTATTTTATATTGTGTGTGCTGTGTGAGTTTTGTTCTTCCGCTGTTGCCTTTCCATGGCTGCTTTTGTTGGGGCACTCAAGCTCTTTATCTGTCTGCTGCTTTGGCTTAACACTCTCTCTTCTCTTCAAGGTCTTCTCCTCCTCACATCTCTTCTTCTTTTCCAACACTTTATATTTATATATATGGTCTCTTTATGTTGGTATTGTTTCTCTCTCAAGAATCTAATCTATATGTGGAAAAAGAATCTTGGAATTTCTTGTTTTCATTTGTTCATTCTTTTTTTGGCTGTATTTTCAATTAATTAGTAAAAGTTCTGTCACAAGAAATTTCATTGAAAACATGATGTGTTCTCGACGAAAAGATGGTTTAGTGATGAAAAAGTTGACGGTTTCCATTTATAGCGACGAAATTATAGTGTCACTAATATCCTCAATAACTATATGAAAATTTTCTGCTAAACTATTACAGGTGCGAGGGATTTCTCCGAATTTCGGTACCCGTTCATCAAAAGGGCGAGTTCGTTTTCATCGTCGTCTTCGTTCTCGTCCTCAAACACAGACGAAGTTTCGTACGACTACATAATCGTCGGAGGTGGCACGGCGGGGTGTCCCTTAGCCGCGACATTGTCTCGGAACTTCAGCGTGTTGGTTTTGGAGAGAGGTGGAGTTCCCTTCTCAAATGTCAACGTCTCCTTCCTCAGAAACTTCCACATCGCCTTGGCCGACACTTCTCCGGCCTCCGCTTCCCAACCGTTCGTCTCCACCGATGGCGTCATTAATGCTAGGGCTAGGGTTTTGGGTGGTGGCACTTGCATCAATGCTGGCTTCTACACCAGAGCTAATTCTGAGTATGTTTTTCTCCTCAATGTATTTATTTTCTTCTCTATTACAATCACTTTGGACCATCAATATTTTTTAAAAATATATTATTTTAAAAATTTTATATACAAAATTCGAAACTTAACATCCACAATTTTATGTAAATTATAGGAAAAAAATATAAGAGAAGGGTCTTAATTGTAAGAGAATTCGGTCCAATAATATTAAATATATATATAGCAGAAGATGTAGTTCACATGTTACCATATACAAAGATGGTGGTCACGTGAAACCTTAACATCAATATATGCATTTATTAAGGTTTTCAGGGTCCCCCATATGTATAACCTTGGGGTAATTCGTTTATTAAGAACAATTAATTAGGGTTTTCTGATGAGTCGTAAAAGGGACGAAAACATTTATGATCCACCCGCCTTCCTTTTTAATGAAGTTCTCTTCCTTATATATAAGTTTCTTTTCTCATTATTTTTACTTAAATTATATTTCAATTTTCAGATTAGTACTTGAAATTTTCTCGATAGAAAGTGATACTTAAACTATTAATTTTATCTCAATTTATTAAAAAGATCGTAGTCAATAAGAATGTCACACATAATATACTTTTGGAGGGATAAAATAAGATGAAATGATAGTTTTAAGTATCACTTTTGACTAAAAAAAATTTAAGTAGTGATTTGAAAATGGGGTATTGTTTAGGGACTAATTTCTTAATAAAACACTATTTAGCTAGCACTAACGAGGACTTCATTATTTGCCCTACACATTTGGTCCAACTCATTGGGCACCTCTCTTTTTTCTTTTCTTCATTTTTCTGTATGAAATGTTTACCAATAAAGTTAGGTGTGAATATACACGTACATAAAATTTTACGTTATGAGTAAATTTATAAAATTTTACGTTATGAGTAAATTTATAAAATTTTAAAAAATTAAAATAAATTATCAGTAAAGAAAATTACAAAAAAAATACTTAAACTATATACGAATTGAACTTTTTTGTTGTTGGATGTTGCAGTTTCATTAAAAGAGTAGGGTGGGATGCAAGGTTAGTGAATGAGTCATATCCATGGGTGGAGAGACAAATAGTACACCAGCCTAAACTTGCACGGTGGCAAGATGCTTTAAAGGATGGCCTTTTAGATGTTGGCATCTCCCCTTATAATGGATTCACCTACGATCATGTCTACGGTACTAAAGTTGGGGGTACCATTTTCGACCGCTTCGGTCGTCGACATACCGCGGCTGAGCTTCTCGCTTCTGCTAACCCGAAAATGCTCACTGTTTTGGTATATGCCACAGTCCAAAAAGTCTTGTTCGATAAAACAGGGAAGAGACCGAAGGCGATGGGAGTGAAGTTCAAGGATGAGAATGGGAACCAACATCAGGCGTTTTTGACTAACGATCGGAGGAGCGAAGTGATTTTATCGTGCGGTGCGATGGGGACTCCTCAGTTGCTGATGCTTAGTGGTGTCGGACCGAAAGCCGAACTCGAGAGGTTGAACATTTCCATGGTGTTGCATAACGAGTTTGTTGGCAAAGGCATGGCTGATAACCCGATGAACTCGGTTTTCGTCCCGATGACACGTCCCGTGGAACAATCTCTTATACAAACTGTTGGCATTACCAAGATGGGAGTTTACATTGAAGCTAGCAGCGGATTCGGACAGTCCCAAGATAGCATTCGTTGCCATCACGGTATATTGTCAGCGGAAATCGGGCAGCTCTCGACGTTACCTCCAAAGCAAAGAACAAAAGAAGCCATTGAAGCATTCATCAAAGGAAAAAAAGACATTCCACATGAGGCATTTAAGGGAGGTTTCATTTTAGAGAAGATTGCAATGCCCCTTTCCACAGGCCACCTCAACTTGGTCAACACCAACGTCGACGACAACCCTTCTGTTACCTTCAACTACTTCGGCCACCCTCGTGACCTACAGCGATGCGTAAACGGGATCCGGATGGCTGCCAAGGTTATACAATCGGACCGGTTCACAAACTTTGCTAAATGTGATAAACCGACCATGGAGAAGCTTCTTAACATGAGTGTCAGGGCGAACGTTAACCTCGTCCCAAAGCATACTAATGACACAAAGTCCCTAGAACAGTTCTGCAAAGACACTGTGATCACAATTTGGCATTACCATGGAGGGTGTCATGTCGGAAAAGTGGTGAACCATGACCACAGAGTTCTCGAAACCAGAAGACTCCGAATCATCGACGGGTCCACATTTAGTGAATCCCCGGGGACTAACCCTCAGGGCACTGTCTTGATGATGGGAAGGTAAGCATCAAAAGGCACATTTAATTAGCAATACAAAGCATTAACTATGTACAAAAGTGGTAGGGCAAGGGTACACTTATTTTCTTTTCGATTTTTGGATCTTTGCAGGTACATGGGAGTCAAGATTTTGAGACGAAGACTAGGAAAGGCTGCTCATGTGTAAGGGAGCACCGAGCACCGGGGTTTGTTCGTAGCCGTCGTAGTAGGCACTAGGAAATGAATGTGATATTTATATGTAGAGAATTAACTTTAGCTTTGCCCTTTTGAATTGTGATGTTTATATATTTATGATGAACTGTTCTTGTGGACTGTGCTCTGCTAGTGGTTGGTGCCAAGATTGATGAGGAACTGAAAAAGAAGGAAAGAAATGGGAAATACTTTGGGGTATTAGGCTTAGCTATGTGCTTGTTTTGATGTTTTTGGTACCATATAATCAAAGATTTAAGGTTCCATGCTCTGTTTCTTACTGGTTTTCTTCACAATTTTAAGCAATCAAGCTGAGATATAAATGAACAGCGGAATGACTTGTAAAAGGGCCTGGGTTCCGGCTCCTCAACTCCCGGTTCAATGCTTCAATTCGATGCAGACATTGATATATTGCGCTTATTAATCTATAGTGTTGTGCTGGTTGAAATGACTCTAAAGCTTGCGCAAGCTCACTTCAATGCCCACAATTCTCATGAAATTCATTGCATATTAGCCTTAATGCATGAACAATTTGGCCCGTAAAAGGACGATGAGATGCTTCAGGCTGCACGCACATGGCCGCAATTGCCGCTACCTTGGAGATGCTTCATGCTTCATTCTTAACCTTCCTTGGCTGCAAGGAGTGCACGTGTAATACCCCAAAATTTTGTTAGTGGCTAAAATGTAAATTTTAAAGTTTAGTGGCTAAAGTATAAAATTGGAAAACGTTTAGGGAACTAAGTAATAAGTTTCCCAAAAAGAATTTTTATTCCATAAATGGATAATTTACTCTTGAGGGTGAAGTTTTATTGAAATGACTCTAAAGCTTGCGCAAGCTCCCTTCAATGCCCACAATTCTCATGAAATTCATTGCATATTAGCCTTAATGCATGAACAATTTGGCCCGTAAAAGGACGATGAGATGCTTCAGGTTGCACGTACATGGCCGCAATTGCCGCTACCATGGAGATGCTTCATTCTTAACCTTCCATGGCTGCAAGGAGTGCACGTGTAATACCCCAAAATTTTGGTTAGTGACTAAAATGTAAATTTTGAAAGTTTAGTGGCCAAAGTAAAAAATTAGGAAAAGTTTAGGGAGTTAAGTGGTAATTTTCCCAAAAAAATTATTCCATAAATGAATAATTTACTATTGAGGAAGAGGTTTTATTGAAATCAGATTCTTGATTCAGAATTGGTGTAAAATACTAGAAAGTGTTAAAGTTCGGTAAAAATTCAGTAAATCGAATCGAATAGAAATTTTGGGAAAATTTGAAGGTTATTAAATTAAGCTTAAATATATTATTTCCACATTTTAAAATGATGAAAAATAATATGGATCATTGGATTTGAGAATTAATTTCCATGTTAAATTTGGATAGTTGGATTAAAGTGGCAAAATTGTAATTTTTGAAAAGTTGCATAAATAAAATGGTAAAGGGTGAAATATTTTGTTCATCTTTTATTTTTGAAAGATGATAAGGGTTATGTGGTTTGGTATTAAAGCCGTGGACTCCAACCTTAGGTGAAAGAAACTTTCTTTTTTATTTTGAGCAATTTCCTTTGATTTTTGGATTAAGAAGTGAAATAGAAAATCGTTCTATTCGAAAAACGCTATCATTTGGTACCATTATTGCATGCTAATCTTGATTGTGTTGAAAGATTTTAAATTCTAGGGTTTATTTTCACATTAGGGTTTATGTAATTGATGATGAATTTTAAGGTTTTGAGGTCGTAGAATCGTTTCCAAGTTTGCAGGATGATCAAAACTTCCTAGAAATGATTCCATGATGTTTCGAGTTAAACCCTAATTTATGAAAGTTTGTGCTTTGATGAAATTTTATTAGGGTTTTATTGTAGAGATTTTAAAATGTTGAATCGAGGTTGAATTCATGCTCGAATCGAACTGAAATTGAATAAAAATCATGAAAACCCTAGTCTTAGATTTTCAAAGCATTCGACCTTAGGGTTTTAAATTAGGAAAAATTTTGTAAAAGTTCCCATGGCTTAGAAATGATATATGGAAGGTTCTAAAACCTTTAGAAAATTATTTGGGTCAATTTTTAATTTTGTGAAAGCTGAGGGACATATTTGGTAATTATAGAAAAGTTGTGGGTTAATGTGTAAATGTGTAATAGTTGATGTACTATGCTGGAAATTAATGCTTGAGTGTTGAAATTGATGTTAGAAGGTGAAATTGGATTATTTTGGAAAGTTGGTAAAAGTTTAGGTTCAAATCACAAATATGAAAAAGTTGAGAGCTTAAGTGAAAATGTTATGTGAAATTTGGATAAAATGAAATTTGAATGGTCAATTAGAAGTGTTAATATCAACATTTATGTTCTGGCATAGAATTATTATCGAATGAGCATCAGAAGATTTTTTAGGAATTTATTTTCTAATGCGTTCCTATGTTAATAAGATTCTAACATCTTATTTGAATTTGTATATGTTTTGTAATGATGCTCATTTATATTGTGTGCTTGAAATCAAGATTAAACACTATTAAAGCTAAGGAGAAGCTTAAGGATGAAATTGAATCTCTAAGGAAGGTTGGCAAGCTAAAGACACCAGGTGAGTGCAAATTTAATTTGTACTTATGTTATTGAACAAACATTGGCTTGCGATGAGCCATTGACGGAGTTACTATGGTAAGGAGTGACTCCTAAAATATTATGTGATTTGTGATGTATTCATATATGTGTATTTGGTGAGCTAATAGAATTAGTGACAACCTAAAAATGCAAATCGGTGAAGTCTGCTTAGAAATTAAGTTATGGACAGTAAGTTTAGAAAATCACCATAAATTCTACAAAAATGATTAGAGAATAATTTTCATATAATTGGATTTGTATATCAGTATAATTTTGTTTAGAATAAATTGAAACTAATTTTGAGGTATATACAAAAAAAATATGAATTTTTAACCGATGATAGGTAAGAAAATGAGGCAGCAGATTCTGCTCAAAATAAATTCTATCAATCAAATTTGAAAATTCACCATAAATTGTACAAACTGAACTAGAAGGAGTGACTTATATGGATAGATTTTTATTTGAGTCTAGTTTCCAATGGTATAAATGAAATTATTTTTAAAGGTGTAGATTAATACAAAACAATATTTCTTTAAAAGTAGTACAAACTGCCAGGATATGAAATTATGATAAATTTTGGGATATAACCAAATTACAAGCAAAGAATCAAGTTAAAGCTTAGTGAGGCTTGTATTTTGACTTGCATATAATGTCAAAATGAGTGCAATACATGCATAACATTACACATAGATGTTTTATACATCATCAGGTAGGATTTACAATGAGTCTACCTTATTTATGTTGGCATGATATTTATGTCATTCATAATATATTTGACATATTCTAAATATGTCAAAGGTTGAATATAAAATGCATTGATCATTGATCGTTACATATGATGTTTATCATGAACATATATGATATTTTTCATGATTGATATTTCGGGTATGAACTGTCCAATGTTAAATTATGATAGTATACTTTGCCATGGATGGATCAAATAAAATAGATTGTATGCCCAAGTAAGTCATTGAAGGACATGGTGTAATTGGAATGCCATAGAGTCTAGCAGCTGCATAATCGGATTAACACTATAATGTGTAAGGACACTTAGTGTAGCATTATGGTGTGTAAGGACACTTAGGTCATATGGTACTATAGTGTGTAAGGACACTTAGTACAACATTGTATTGTGTAAGGACTCTCAGTGCAACACTATGGTGTGTAAGGACACTTGGTGCATATGGTACTATAGTGTGTAAGGACACTTAGTATAACAATGTAGTGTGTAAGGATCCTTAGTGCAACACTTTGGTGTGTAAAGACACTCAGTGCATATGGTAAGCACTTCGGTGCATCTTTGACTCAAGATCCCAGGGTCTTCATAGGGTTACGTTTGGGCTATGGTTTATTGGTTAATAAATGATGAACATGTGAATAAGCTTATGAACTTATTGAATACATGACAAGTATATTGGTAAGAAATTTATATGTTATTCATATCATGTTCATAGTAGTAGCATGATTGGAAATAAAGATAAAGTGATCATAATGCATTGAATATTATTATTGTTTACATTTATGTGTTGTATTGCCTTGAATATATTTCTATTGATTGTCTCACTAAGTGTATACTTAGTGTGTGATGATTTTCACGTTTAGGTAAATTAAAGCGGAAGGAGTAGGGAGCTGAGCTTGACATCAATCACTAAGGAATATTTACAGGTAATAGTAATGACATTTGACTCTGTTTCAACACTTTCTAGCTGACATGTATACGAGTAAGAAGTGTTTGCAAACTAAAAGTATGGTTAGTATTAAATATAATTTAGTATAAACATATACTATGATACTAAACCATGCTTTAAAAGGTATTTTAAATGAGATTTTAAATTAGACAGTTTTATTTATTATATGAACAAAGCATAATAGTTTATTACTGCCTGAGATCAGATTTGAATTAGAAGTTGAAATATTATATTTTGAATTCCTCTGATTATGTATTTTATAATAAATGTATAAATATGAAATTTGTGAAAGAAACTAGATTTGACCTATTTTGGGTTAAGAAATGTTTTGATTATTTGATGTGACATCTATGATTCGTGTACGGAAGCATATACGAGAAATGAGTGTTACTAGCCCATGTGACAAGATTTTCCTGGCCCCGGTGGCTGCAATAAGTCCACAGGTTTCCTCCCGTAAGGAGCTAGAGTAGGACCACACCGACCGGTCATCGCATACTCGGGGGCCAAGTAACAGAAACAAATGAGATAAATTGACAAATGAGCTATGGTTATGAAGATTGAAAAGGACTGTCGAATAACATGCTTCCATACTCAACTTCAGTCGTTGAACGAGAAACATCTTCATTAAACTTCAAGACAACATATGCATAGCAAGAAAAACACAATATTCAGAAATCGACCTTCCAATTTCGATCATCAACGTCACTTTCCTAGTCAGCATCAGAGAAAACAGAAATCGACGACGACCGAGAATGCTCAATCACGATGAAAACAACATCGTGTATGAGAACAAGAAAACTATTGATGAGGATGAGCCGAGCAAAAAGGCAGAAACATTGTGGTAATAACCTTTGGTTGTAAGAAATAAGTATTTTTTTGGCCCCAAGCGGGACATAATACTTCGAACCTGCTTCGTGGCAATCTATAGGCTCTATGTGGTCACTGTTAAATATTTTACTGGACGAAAATGTAACTTTTGAAAGTTTCAGATAAGCATCTGTCCAAGATAATGTTTTTATCTCTGCCGCACTGAAATTCAATATTGGAAAAGTGGAGAACAGGTTGAATAAATAAGTGGGAAAGATCAAATAAAGATCTTGTGATCCGTAATAAAATTGTGTGGGACAATGATTAAATAAAGGATAAATTATATCCATGAACATTTAATTATGGAGAGATTTCAATTTGACCATTGATCTATCGATTTTGTCAAATTTAATTATTTAAATGATACCAGTCTAGCCATCCGTTGTTAACATTTAATGATTGATTGATATAATCATAAAATTAATATAATTATACTTTTAATTCTTAGTTTCTACATATTTTGATAATTACCACATCAATCTCTATTAAATTTTAACGACTGATGACTTAATTAATATCATTTAGATAATTAAATGATCCAATTGATGAAATTAAAAGGTTGATTGTAAAATTAAAATTTTTCCATAATTAAATAGTCATGGGTATAGTTTATCCTTAAATAACCATTTCCTAAATGAATAGGGATTGGTGAATACTTGATAAAAGAAGAAGAAAAACAATAATGTTAGTAACGATTTTTGTTAAATAAGACATTGTAGTGACAAAATTAGAAAGGAGATAATGGACGCGTGACTAGTTGGTATAATGTGCCTTTTTATTTCTGCTCGATCCAATCTTTTAGTATAGAGAAAGTGCCGACAGACAACCATTTTCTCTTTGGACACCAAAACAGAACACCCTTCATCCAAACAACCCACAAACGCCACCACCCCCGCCGCAAACCCTTCCTTTCCCCCCACTAAAGCCCAACGCTACGGAGAAGCCCGCCCTCTCTACCGCCCCCAAACCAAGCGCATCCGTCGCTCATGCTGTTGTTCATGTTGCCTCTGGACCACCGTAGCTATCCTCGTAATTCTCCTCCTCGCCGCCATAGCCACCGCTATCTTGTACGTCTTTTACAGTCCACACCGCCCTACTTTCACAATCTCCTCCCTCAAAATCTCGACCCTCAACATAACATCGTCTTCAAAACTCATCACCAACATCAACCTCAACGTAGTAGCCAAAAACCCGAACAAAAGACTCGTCTACACGTACGACCCCATCACCGTATCGCTCATCACGAACGACGGCATCGAAATAGGCGACGGCTCGTTCCGTTCCTTCGTGCATGGCACTAAGAACACGACTCATTTGAAAGCCGCCATAACTAGCGGCAGCAGCCAAGAACTCGATAATGGTTCGGCCGGAAAGTTAAAAGCTGGTTTGAAGAATAAAAAGGGTCTGCCATTGAAGATGAAGTTGGAGACCAAAGTGAAAGCAAAGATGGGAGCTTTGAAGACGCCAAAGGTTGGGATTAGGGTTGTTTGTGAAGGTATTAAAGCTGCTGCTCCCAAGGGGAAATCTGCAACAATTGCTTCAACTTCTAATGCGAAATGTAAGGTTGATTTGAGGATTAAGATCTGGAAATGGACTTTCTGATGCGAAGAATTAAGAAGAAGCTTTGATGTTTATTTTATTTTTGTGTCAATCATTATTTTGGGGTCATTGTATGTTTTTTTTTTTGTAAATTTTGTGATTAATCCTAATGATAGGATATATATACCTTCTAAATACATTTTTGCTTTGCTTTTTTTGTTTTGTTTTTAGTCCTTGTTCAGAGGTCATTTTATATATTTTTATTGAAATTTACATAATTTTATTACGAGGGTAATTTTATTGAATTTTACATAATGTTGTAACTATATATTATTAATTAAAACTAAAGGTTAATCTATATTCTTTTTCTATTTTCAATAATATACTTTTTTTTAGAGATGATAAATTTTTGCATTTAAGTAAGGATCAACTTAAAATTTATATTACAGATAATAATTTAATTTTTTTAAGGAGATTATAAAATCAGATTTTTAATAAAAAAATATATAAAAGTATGGGTTTCTAGGGACTTACGAATGTCCTCATCTGTCCCGTCGATGTGCTCCCTTACCAATACCATTCAAGGAATTTTGACTTACGTGATAAGATTAATTTTATAAAATCTATGAAGAATTCGATTTAGATAATTATAATTTTATGTTTGATTAAATATGATATCAATTTAAATTAAAATGAAATTAATTAATATTTTGTTTGATTTTTTTATTTTAATAATAATATATTAAATCAAAATTTACTACAACAGTATCAAATCAATGAATAAAAAAATTATCCATTTCACCTTATCTCATTAACATTCCTAAGTTTATTCATGAACTTTCGCTTTTTCTATTATTATTATTTTTCACCTGAAAAAAATGATTAAACATCCATGAAAAAGTTTGGGACAAATGTCAGGTACGAATCGAAAGCGGGGAAAAGGGGGATTTTTTCATAATAAAATGTATCCTTTACGGACTGAAAACGTAATAATTTATTGTCTTTGCTTAAATTCCACGTTCAGAGTGCCCAAAATTTATAATAGTGGTTGTCATGTCACTACCCGAATATGAAAAATTAGTACTAAAAATTTATGGGTAAATTACACAAATATTCCCAGACTATAGGGTATACTTTATTAAGTCCTTTGACTAATAAAAGTTACAAATTGATCTTTTGACTATAGAATGTTGCTTTGTTAAGTCTCTTGACTATTAAAAGTTACAAAATAGTCACCCGACTATTCATTATGTTTCAAACTCATCATTTTACGTTAGAATTTGGCGGTTGTTTAATATGTACGTTAATATGATGACTGAGATATGATAGTCATTTGAGAATCTAGGATTATATTTTATCATATCATAATCAACAGACTACATTTAACTCAAAATACCGTCAATTTTTAAGGAAAAATGACTAGTTTGGAACATAATGAATAGTCAGGTTTCCATTTTGTAACTTTTAATAGTCAAATGACTTAACAAAGCTACATTCAATAGTCAAAGAATCATTTGTAACTTTTAAAAATAGAAGGACTTAATAAAATAATATCTTATAATTGGGAGACCAGTTGTGTACTTTACCCAAATTTTATTTACTCATAATATTTATGAAGGTGACTCGCTAGAGTTGGACTTGAACAAAATTATTTTGGTCCTATTCCCAAATGTGATGCTCCCGAAACTTTCATGGACTTCCTCCCTATCAATCTTTGTACAGTTATCTAAAGTTACTTACAAAGACCATTGTTCGCCGATTAAAACCTCTCTTTCCGATTCTTATCGAGCCAAATTAAACGAGCCTTATCTCCCGTTGTTCAATAATAGAAAACATTATTCTTAATCAAGAAGTTATTCACTCAATGTGCCTTTTTAAAAGCAAACATGGGTAGATGACGATTAAGGTCATCTCCAGCCCTCATCTCTATTCTACAACATCTCTATATCTACTCTAAAGATGAAACAATAATTTATCTTCAACACTATCTCTACATTACTACCAACTCTACTTTATTCACAATATTTAACTATTATAATATTGATTTTGCAAATAAAATATATACATTTATAATAAATATCAAGATAAAAAGCATAAATAAAACATTCATAAATAACATTGCGAAAATAAAAATAAATAAGAAAATTACAATTCATAATAATAATGCGAAAATGTTAGACGTCTCCAACACATTAATACCTTATATATATTAACATGTGATACACAAATGTGACTGAAATACAAAAAAATAAAAACAGAACATCTCAAACTGAAATACAAATATATTAACATCTCAAACATTAATACTGTATAAATAAGTGCTAAACCTAGGAGGATCTAAGGCTAATTTACCCATAATGTTACAGTGACTAGACCTTAATTTACCCAAAAAAAAAATTAGTATATAACCTAACTAAAAAAACCTAAGTTAGTTTACTAAAACTAAACACCTCAGCCGCTCAAGCTCTCCACTTCTCTCCATTTCCTCTCGATGGAAACCAGAGGTCAAAATCCATGGCCACCAAACTTCAGTCGAAACTCATAAAAAAATGTAGCGCAATTACAGTGCAACGCCAGTTGTAGCGTGCACTGTAGTTGTAGTCACAATGCAGCTACAAAGTGACAATGGGCTGGAGTATAGGATCATTTCCAAAGTGGAGATCTTCGCCACTCCAGTGATGCACTGGAGATGGCCTAAGATGGACTTAGAAAAAACCTTTAATAGAATTCGTTGGGACTTCATTTCCAACGCTTTGGTGGATGCTGACTTCCCACCGGGTATTCGAAGAACAATCATGAACTTTATTACTTCTTCTAGCTTTCAAGTACAATGGAATAAAAGTTTATCCCAATCATTTGTTCCAGAAATGGGCATCCGACAAGGTGATCTCCTCTCCCCTTATCTCTTCGTGCTTGCAATGGAACATTTGGGCCACCTCATTAATCACTTTGTTGCTCATGGCTTTTGGTTAGGATGGCAATGGGTCGAGTCGGGTCGGATGTTTGCCTGCTCCAACTTCGACCCAACATAATAAAACCATAATCTCACTATGACCCGACTCTGATTTTAATATTATTTAATTTGACCCGACTCCAACTCCAAAAATACGACATAAACCCGACTCCGAACCAACCGACCTAATTTTTATTATTAAAAATAAAAAAAATACAGAAAAAATCCTAAAAAATACCCTAGTGACACCAACTTTTCATCATCAAAATCCCTAAAACAACATAAATTTTAGTTTTTCATTATCTAAAATACTAATGGCTACCATTTTTCTCTTAATATGTAAAATATATTGATTTTTTAAAGTTGGAATTTTAAAACAAAAAACTAAAACAAAAAACAATCTAGATTTATAGCATATATTCATAAACTAAAAAAGAAATAATAAAAATTATTTTTTATTTACAAGAACAAATATTACAAACACGTTTAGATCGAAAACCTAGAATAAAGAAAAGTTGAGAAGAACTCATAAATTAAAGAACCAAAATCTTTAAATAAAATAGCTCTCAAAGTTTAGTTCTTCTTTGAACAAAAAAAAGGAGAAAAAACTTTAAAAAGGATAGGGGATCATCTAAATAATGAAACAAAAAAATTAAAATTTGTTAACATTCAAATTGAAGTGGGAAGAAATAAAATTTAAGAGGAAATGAAGAAAAGTTGAGAGAAGAATTTAAACTTGGGCAAAGAAGGAAAATGGAAAGAGAGAAACCCTAAAAAATTATATATATATTTGACCTCTAACCCAACTCCGACCTGAACCCAAAAACATTATATACTAAATCGGGTCTGATCGGATCTAGTCGGATGCAGAAATTGTCATTTCTAATCTGGTCTCTTTTTTAATTTAGTCGGAATAGTATCCTCTATCTCATTTTTTCTTTACTAACGAGCTCATCTTCTATGCCAAAGCTGATATGTCTCAGGTGGAAACAATTAATAATATTCTTTGTACTTTTGGCGAGAGCTCTAACCACTGTGTTAGTAAACTTAAAACTCAGATTTATTTCTCACCTGATACTGATATGAATTTGAAATAAATGATTAGCAGCCACCTGGGTTTTCAGATGGTTGACTCTATGGGAAAATATTTGGGAGTGTCAGTCATTCATGGTCGTTCGCGTTGTGCCGACTACAATTTCATTTTAGATAAAATGAAATCTTGCCTTTGTGAATGGGCGGGTCGTTCTCTTTCCATAGCCGGGCGTGTAACCTTGGTGAAATCAGTCCTTAGCGTAATCCTGGTTTACTTTATGCAGATTACTTTGCTTCCGAAAAAAGTTTGCAATGGCATCGAGAGTTTGATACGCCGTTTCATTTGGGGATCCAGTCCAAATGCCCCTAAGGATCCCTTCATCAACTGGGAAACTTTATGTCAACCAATCAATTGGGGTGGTCTTGGTTTAAGGCGCTTTTACGACCACAATACGACATTCATGCTAAAGTTAAGGTTCTCAATATTCACCAAGAGCGATGACTTTTGGGTCCGCTGTCTCCGCTAAAAATATAAGGTTGATTCGATTTTCCCGTCGATGATTCACAAACGTATTTGTATTGTTGGGGAAATCGGGTTATTTCCCACACGAACGTAGTTTTAAAATTGACCTAAAATGTCAAGATTAAAACCACCAAAGGTTGCACAGTGGATAAACTTGTCAAACTATTGAATATTGAAACACAATGGAAAAAACCGAATAAAAACAATAAAGGAGAGAACACACCAAAGTTACGAGGTTCGACGAGAATATCGTCTACTCCTCGGGCACCACACCGGATGATAACTTCACTATATCGCCAATATTACAACATATGGAATTCTTTAGAATTCCCAAAGTGGGAGAATGAAGAATACAAGAGGAAGAGAGAACTTGTTTTTGGGATGATTTCTAATGAAATACTTAGGTCTATTTATAGTTGAGTTTTAAGGACTAAACTTATAAATAACCTAATATTTTAGGGATCAAACATGAAAAATAAGTTGGCCACCTACCAAAGAATTTTCCAATGTGTACAAGTTAGCCACCAAATATGAAATTCCCATATTCAAAGTTTGGCCACCAACCAAGATGAAATTTCCAACTTGCCAGCTTAATTTCAAGCCAAATCTAACAAATCTCCACTTTGACTTGAAATTACCAAGCCTACTCAACTTCTTTAACTCCCCAAATTTGTAGTGGCTTTAATTGTGCTCACAAGCGCCACACACCCGAAGGTGTTCATACTTTCAGGATGTTAATCAAGTTCAAACAATGATTGAACTTGATTACTGTTACCACATTGGTCATTATATCTGCAGGATTTTTTGATGTCGTAATTTTCTGAAGTAGAATATTTCCTTCTTCAAAGATCTCTCGTACAAAGTGATACCTCACGTCGATATGCTTAGTCCTTGAATGTTAAACTTGATTTTTCGCTAAGTGAATAGCGCTCTGACTGTCACAATAGAGACTAATGTGACTTTGAACAACTCCCAAGTCTTCCATTAACCCGTTAAGCCAAATTGTTTCCTTTACAGCCTTTGAAACTGCCATGTATTCTGCCTCTGTAGTAGACAAGGCCACCGTAGATTACAATGTAGACTTCCAACTTACTGGGGCTTTAGCAAGAGTAAACAAATACCCAGTAGTTGATCGACGCTTATCCAAATCACCAGCATAATCGGAATCATCATATCCAACCACACACTGACCAAATGCTTCATCCTGTTCAAAAACTAAACCAACATCCACGGTTTGTTGGAGATACCGTGGAATCCATTTCACAGCTTGCCAATGTCCTTCTCCAAGATCATGCATGTACCTGTTCACAACTCCAACTGCTTGTGAAATGTCAGGACGCGTACACACTATTGCATACATCAAGCTCCCAACTGCATTAACATATGGAACTTTTGCCATATACTCTCGTTCTTCATTAGTTTTAGGAGATAATTGAGAACTAAGTTTCAAATGAGAAGCTAGTGGGATACTTACATGTTTGGTATTTTCATTCATGCCAAAACATTATAATACCTTTCTCAGATATTGCTTCTATGTTAAACAAAGCTTCTCTCTCTGTCTATCTCTGCTTATCTCCATACCAAGAATCTTCTTGGTCTCACCTAGATCTTTCATCTCAAACTCTTGATTCAACTGAGCCTTTAATTTGTCTATCTCCTTTTGACTCTTCGAAGCAATCAACATATCCTCGACGTACAAGAGAAGATAAATGAAATATCATTCTTTAAGCTTTTGCAAATACACACAATGATCATATTTGCTGCTAGTGTACTTTTGCCTCCTCATAAAGCTATCAAATCGCTTGTACCACTGCCTCGGAGATTGCTTCAATCCATATAGCGATTTGTTCAGCTTACAAACTCATTTCTCACGACCACCATCTTTGTATCCTTCTGGCTGAGTCATATAGATCTCTTCTTCTAAATCACCGTGTAAGAAAGTCGTCTTTACATCAAGTTGAGCTAGCTCCAAATTCAACTGTGCTACCAAGGCCAACAATATTCTAATGGAGGAATGCTTCACAACAGAGGAAAATACTTCATTGTAGTTGATCCCCTCCTTTTGAGCATAGCCTTTAGCTACCAACTGTGTCTTGTAGCGACCAACTGTGCCTTGTGGCGAACATCTTTCTTGCTATGAGATCTATATTTCTTTGCAAATACCCACTTGCATCCAATTGCTCTTTTACCTTTCGGTAATTGAGCCAGTTTCCAAGTGTTGTTCTTTTGGAGAGATTGCATTTCTTCATCCATGACACTTTTCCACTTATCACTTTCCAAGCTTTGTATTGCTTCTTGGTAAGTAACAGGGATATCATCATCAACAACTGGAAGAGCATAGGCCACCATATCAACAAATTGAGCAGGTCTACGAATTTCTCTTCTTGTCCTTGTAACTGCAAGTGGTTCTGGTGTCTCCAATGGTTCTTGGGTTTAAACCTCTTCATCTTATGATTCTTCTATTGGAGTTGAAGAATCAACTGCATCAGCTTATGGGATCATCGTCTGCTGAAACTCCACATGTTTTAGAGTATGCTCCACCTGCTATGGAGTACTACTTGTCTGGACAGCTTCATTTGTTACCTTCTTTATTAGGGCGGATTCATCAAAGGTAACATTTATGCTACAAATTATCTTCTTGGTGTCTAAACACCAAAGACGAAATCCCTTCACTCCATGGGTGATTCCGATAAAGAAAGCCTTTTTTGCTCTCGGATCAAGCTTGGATTCCTTCACATGATAATAAGTAGTGGATCCAAATACATGTAAGGAATCATAATAAGTAGCAGGTTTTCCAGACCATACCTCTAATGGTGTTTTTCCTCTTATCGCTGATGACATAAGACGATTGATGAGATGACCAACATATGTCACAGCCTCAGCCCAAAATGCCTTGCCTAACCCAGCATTAGACAACATACATCGAACTTTCTCCAATAGTGTTTGATTCATACACTCTGTCACCCCATTCTGTCGTGGTGTATTTCTAACAGTGAAGTGTCGAACAATACCATACTCATGGAAAACGTCAAAGAATGAGTCATTTTTATATTCCCCTCCATTGTTCGTCCTAAGACGTTTGATCTTTCTACCAGTCTGGTTCTCGATCATATTTTTCCATTTCAGGAAAATTCGAAGCACTTTATCTTTAGACTTCATCGGATACACCCAAACACTTCTGGAAAAAGTCATCTACAAAAGTTACAAAATAATGGTTTCTTCCCAAAGACTATGTCTTTGAAGGACCTCATACATCTGAGTGAATATAATCCACAATACCTTTTGTATTATGTATAGTGGTACTAAACTTCACTCTCTTCTGTTTTCCCAGAACACAATGCTCACAAAAGTTCAAATTGCAAGCCTTTGCACCTTTCAACAATCCTTTCTTTGCCAGAATTTGCAAGGATTTCTCTCCAGCATGTCCCAACCGCATATGCCACAACTGGGTTGCGTCCAAATCATCACCTCCGGAAGCTGCTGCAACTGCTCCAATAATTGTACTACCTTGATAGTAATACAAA